CGGATTTTCTTGATCCTAACAATTGGATTTTCTTGATACATTATCCTCTTTCGAACTTAACAAGCATATGTCATATCAAGTTTAATTCACATCATTGATTTTTGACATATGAAATCATCTAGCAAATGCACTTATCATGTGAAAAATATTTTTCGAGAAACATATTTGATGATTCCCTATTATAAAAGGAAGATATTTTTACATACAAGGATTTGACTCACTTACATATCTTAATCCTTGCAAAAATGAAGTGTGCTTTAATATCTTATCAATTTGAACTTCACATATGGCTTTCCTCCTTCATGTAAAAAGATAACAAATAAAAAGGAAGAAGCAATAAAAGCTATCTCCATGTCATGTTTTCCCCGAGATGTTTGCATAATTGATATCCTATCACTCACTATTGGAAAATGACATAAACCAACTTATGGCATCACACTTATATTTAAAATTTGCTTATATCGTTCTCCTTGTTGTTGATGACAAAGGGGGAGAAATATATAAATTGATGCTATGAGTGTCATATTTGAAGAATATGAATAGATGTCATGAATGTCATATTATGATTAGATATCAAAAGCAGCATTCATATGAATAGGTGCTATGAATGTCATATCATGTTAAGATATCAAGAACTTGAATCGCAATTTTACATGTTGATATTTTACCATTTGATGATAGTAAACTTGCATGATGATAACAATAGATATTATGTTTTTCATGCAATGAGTTAAACTTATATCACAAACACTTGATTGTGGTACTTCTCCTTTTTGTTGATGACAAAGGGGGAGAAGTATGTTGATGACATGACATGTTGCTTGGATTTTGGAATCCAAGAGTTTCTATCAATATGGCATATTGATAGAGGGAGTTTGTTTAAACTCTAGGAGTTAATGTTAACTCCGTTTATGATGACATGTTGCTTAGATTTTTAAATCTAAGAGTTTCTATCAATATGGCATATTAATAGGGAGAGTTTGTTTAAACTTCGGGAGTTAAGGTTAACTCCGTCATCAGGTGGTTGTCATCATCAAAAAGGGGGAGATTATTGAATCTCGTATTTTGATGATGAAACCACTTGATGTATGTTTGTGATTTAATCTGCGTTTTAAGTGATGCAGGATACTTCGATCAGGATGAGACAATTAAAGTAGGATTTTACTTTGAGCATTTTATCTTTACTGCAAACCTCCTTAATAGCTTACTGCCCTCTGCGCTTTTAACGAACGAGTTTCTAAGTTCAGAGCTTTCTGAATCTGCGTTTAGACGTAAATCGACTTTTTTGTACGATCATCATATTTCAGTTTACGTTTACATTTAGACTTCAATCATAACTGCAAATTGCCTTCTGCGCATTTATAAAACATATCTCAAAGTTCAGTATCTTCAGAATCGGCATTTAGACGTAAACTGGTTTTATCGTACGAACGTCGCTTTTCAGTTTGCGCTTGCATTCTGATTTCCATCATAAACTGCAAACTGCCTTCGAAAGTTGGTAAAGACTATTGAAACTTCATATTTATGGTGAAGAGGGTATAACCATATGTATTTGATGAAATAGTCTACGAAAATAATATAAAATCTGAATTTGTCAAAGGAAGTGATTAGAGCGAGGCCCCAAACATCAGTGTAAATAATCTCAAGGGGTTTAGAGCAAGATATGGAGGATTTTTCAAAGAGAAGTCTATGACTTTTATTACTTAAACAAGCATCACAATGAGTTATGATGTTATTGGTTGTAAACATAGGAAAAGAATAACGAGAAAGCAATTTTTGCTGAATAAAAGTTGAGGGATGACCAAGACGACGATATCACGCATCAGTTGGAGCTACGACCGAAGAGTAGGTAGTGGGTTGGGTGATTTATCGATTTGATGGTCACTCATAAATATTGTCTTTACTCTAGCCTCGGACCAAGGATGCCCCCATGCTCAAATCCTTGACAAGAAAGGAGTTAGGAAAGAATTTAATTGATGTATGATTCTGTTTACAGAAGTGAGAAACAGAGATGAGGTTTCGGTTGATATGGGGTGCACACAAAACATCATCTAGCATAAACGAAGTGCTATATGAATTAAGCATCGTGGAACCAGTATAAGTAATGGGGAATCCGTTACCGTCACCAATGATAATGTCTTCGTTTCCACCATAGTCGTTGTAGATGGATAAGTTTTGTAAATCAAAGGTGATGTGATGAGATGCGCCAGAGTCCACAATCTAATTTTGATGACCAGTAGTCGGAGTAGCTGTAAGATTTACTTGAAGCCAATGAGACGGAGGAGGAAGTCTAGGTCGAGTTCTACAGACTTTTGTAAAGTGGCCAACTTTGTCACATAGTTGGTACAACTCTTTGTTGATTTATGTGATCATGATGTCAGGGTTGAGGATAATTGAAGTAGCCGCCTTGATGGTAATAATTAAAATGTTTCATAGGTTGAGGAGGGGAGGTTTGTTTGGAGCCCACAAGTTCAGGAGGCATGTTGGCCAAACCTTTGTTGATAGTTTTGTTGTACCAATTGCTCTTCTTTTTATATTTTTGACTGACTTGAGCTGTGATGGATGGTCCTGGCAACTTATCCTCATGCTTAAGATATATCTCATAGTCAATCAACTTGTCATAGAGTTCTTCAAAGGACACTAGTGAATCACGTGCCTGTATTGCTGCTGTCAATTCCTTGTACTCGTCGCCTAGGCCGTTAAGAATATGAACAGTAACTTCTTCATCACTGATGGAATGACCTATTAAGGCCAAGTTATCGATGATAATTCTTATATTGTGTAGATAATCAGCTACAATACTTTCCTCTTGTTTTATCTTCATGAGACTGGACAGGAGACTAAGCATACGAGTGCGGGAACGATTGGCCAGGGTGGTTTATAACCTACACCAAGCTTCGGTAGCAGTGTCACATGAAGAAATGAGTGGGGCGAAGGATCCAACGACCGAGGCTTGAATAGCTTAAAGGATGAGACGATCCTAGCGTAACCATAGTTTGTGGTTCGGATTTGGAACTGGACTGGATGCGCCTGAGATGTTGAGAATCGCCGGTGGACAATGAAGAGAGCCATTGAAATAGCCTAGAAGATAATAGCCAAATAGTAGATTAGAGAATTGAGTACGCTAGGATGCGTAGTTACCACCTTTGGACAATTTGAAAGGGATGAGGGTTGCTGCATTTATGGAGATAAGGCCTTTATGTGAGAAAGTACTATGGTTCCCTACAGGAATAGTAATTGGAGTATCAGAGGTATATGATGATGATATATAGAGGATATATACCAATATGTGGGAGCAACTAGAAGTCTACCGCAATGACAATGATCAGGAGGAAGAGGTGTTGGTGGCAAATGGGTTATGGGTTGTCGATCAATATGGACAATGATGGGTTGGTGGCAAATGAGTTGTGGGTTGTTGATCAATATTGTGTAAAGCTGCAGATTTTTGTGCAGCAATTCAATTTGGGCAGTGAAGTGCATGTCGAGGCGACACTGATCTGCACCAAATTTGGGAATTTAGGCAGTTGGGAATTTGGAGATGGTTCTGGATATTGCTTATCAAGGCGAAGAAGGTGGAGCAAGGGATAACGGCTTGGGAGAAGAGCAGATCACTACCGTAAAAGATCTGAGCACAACGGTATATTTAATCCGAAGCCAAAATAAAGACAACATTTATGAATGATCATCAACTTCACAAATCATCCAACCAATTTTTTTTTGCTTCAATTACTACTCCAATCAATGTGTGACATCGTTATCTTGGTCATTTGTATCATGCAATCAACAATAATTGATATCTCGGTACTTTCTTTCAAATTTCAAATAAAGTAGAATTTTAATTCATTGTGATAATTGTATTAGCAATAAAAGTCATCGATTACCTTTTGAAACTTAGGTGCAGGAGTCAATCTTGCAAGAGCATAATCGAAAATCATAATAAAGGTAAACATAAAAAGACATTCTTATATTTGTTACATCCTCGATCAATATTATATTTCAATATAAATTTGATTAAATAATTTGAGTACATGATCTCAAGACTTAAAACAAGGAATGAGCTTGTGAGCAATGTACTGAAGAAACGAAATATGTCGTATAGCCACGATGGAAACCAGGAAGCCTCGAGTAGGGTTCATAGTCAAAGCCGGTCAACATTCGGCATCGGAGGGGGTTTTGGGAAGACATCTTATCGACGTGACCTCACATTTTCCAAAGTCGAGCTGCATCGTAACGTTTTGGTCGTTTATTTCATGAGCTGATATCCTCGTAGATGGGATAAGATGGCGGTTTAGTTGACCATGGAGAAAAGGTTTGACCAGGAACACGGCTTAGTTCCCGGTTATTTCCTCTGATTGGTATGTGAGATCTGATATGGAAGATTGATGCAGTATAAAAGTTCCCAGTTGGCTCCATTTCTCTTCATCGATCCATTCGAGAAGCAATACAGAAGCATAATTTGCAACCAGAGCAACATCTCGTCCTCGCTAGAAATGGCCATTCCAGTCATCGATTTCTCGAAGTTGGAGGGGAAGGAAAGAGCTGAAACCTTGGCACGGATTGCCAATGGATGCCAAGAATGGGGATTCTTTCAGGTTTGCATCCCATTTGTCTGGTTCCTTCTTTCTCCTTACTGGGATCTTTTCGAGTTGACGCTGGTACTAAAGCAGAGGAATCTACCTGACCTGTTTGCAGCTGGTGAACCATGGGATTCCGGTGGAGTTCTTGGAACGCGTGAAGAAGGTGTGCTCCGAGTGCTACAGACTCAGAGCGGAGGGCTTCAAGGCGTCCAAACCTGTGCAGCTGTTGAACAAGCTGGTGGAAGAAGAAGGCGACGCCGCCGATGCTAAGCGCTTGGATAACGTGGATTGGGAGGATGTCTTCCTTCTCCAGGATGACAACGAGTGGCCGGCCAACCCTCCAGAGTTCAGGTGATCATCAACTTCCACGCAGGGCTCGTCAGGCTAATTGATATGTAGTTATAAGTGCCTAACGTATGCCCTCTTCATGCGCAATCTTGCAGGGAGATCATGAAGGAGTACAGGGAAGAGCTGAGGAAGCTGGCTGAGAAGGTGATGGAAGTAATGGATGAGAATCTGGGGTTCGAGAAGGGCTCCATCAGGAACTCATTCTCCGGAAACGGCGAGCATCAACCCTTCTTCGGCACCAAGGTGAGCCACTACCCACCGTGCCCGCGCCTGGACATGGTGAACGGCCTTCGCGCCCACACCGACGCAGGCGGCGTCATCCTCCTCTTCCAAGACGACCAAGTGGGCGGCCTGCAGATCCTTAAAGACGGGCAGTGGATCGACGTGCAGCCAGTGGCCAATGCCATCGTCATCAACACGGGAGACCAGATCGAAGTCCTCAGCAACGGGCGGTACAAGAGCGTGTGGCACCGGGTGCTGACGACCAGCGACGGCAACCGCCGCTCCATCGCTTCCTTCTACAACCCCTCCTTGAAGGCCACCATCGCTCCAGGGACCAACAAGGACGGCTCTGCTACAGCGCTGTACCCCAAGTACGTTTTCGGGGACTACATGGATGTGTACGTGAAGCAGAAGTTCTTGGCCAAGGAGCCGCGGTTCGCGGCGGTGAGAGCCGTGTGAGGATAGCAAAAGTGCACGTTATTCATTAAGATATATTGTTCCTTCGATTGAATTCTTCGCATGAGAAGAACGTTTGTTTGCATCAGATTAATTCTTCATGTAATGAATAAAACGAGTCGTCTGCCTCTCAACTTTGATCATATATGTTCTGATTTTTTTTGTTATTTTAATAGAAGATCATGACAAAGATAAACATAAAATAATATTTTAAATATTTTAAATAAATATATGATTTATATGATTTGATTGAGTAATTTGAGGATGTAATTAAGAAAAATCCCTCTCTAAATCATCACTCTTTACAACAAGTTCTTCAATTGATAATGGTATCAAAGGTCAGCTTTTCGATTTTTTTTTTTTTTTTTTTCTGTCCGACGATAGTAATCTCTCCTCTTTGTTGACCTGCCACAGCGATTATCTCGCTGCTCGTTTACTCTTTTGCCCAGCAGTCCTTCTCCTATGCTATCAATCACAGATTTGTTCTTCTCGCTCATCACCGTCCTCCGTCATTGATTTGCTCTTCTTGCTGACCTGTTTGGCATAGCTTCCTCTGTTCCTCCTCTTCACCCACCGCTTTTGTTGTTGCTGCAGTAACAACATCATCACCTCCTTTGCAGCAACCACAGCACACTCATCATCGATCAACAGCAACACCGCCTCCTCGCCGCAGCAGCAACGACAATGCGATCTCCCCTTCGTGTTATGCTCTGTAGCAACAGCAGCACCAGACGTCGCTGATCTACTGCAATAGCAGCCATCGCCTCCTCGCCGCAGCAACAACGACAGTGCGATCTCCCCTTAGTAATTTGTGCAACAGATTTGTTCCACCACCTTGATGATTTGATCAATCCTCTGGCGATGCTGATCTAATTTACCCACCATCGACGATCGTTCCCCTCTCCATTGCTGATCTGATCAGTCATCCATTTCGCTAGTCTGACCAGTCCTCCGATAATATGCAGCAGATCATTCCCCTCTCTGACAATTTGATTTGATCAGTCCTTCATCCTTTCCATGCAAAGACTTCTCCACTCGTCTACAATTTGCATCGGGACTCCTTGTTGATCTATTGCCTCGTCGCTACACCGACGATTCTTCCTCCGCCCTAGATCAACAACATTAGCCATCAGTTGCTTCCTCCTGACTAACTTTCGTCGGCTTCTTCAGTGGCATCATCTTTTCGTGTGACCCATATCGCACGGGTGCCAAGGCCATCGATTACATTGCACAATGTGCCATCTCTAACATGTCAAACTTTGCATCATCTGCTACTATTTACTACTCTAGCGTGTCAATCTCCTCCGACTACTTAAGAATCTTATCTTCTTCCTCTTATAATTTTGACACTCCGATAATTATTCCCTTAGGGAACAATATTTATTCTTCACTTACAAACTCATTTCTACTAATATAATAATTTTGATCCCCTTCAAACTCTCCAAAAGTATAAATTATAGTTATATTAAGATTATCTTATTTAACAAGTCATTCAAGTCTTAGTTACTAGTTCTATAACATAATTAATCTCTTTATGTAGCACTGTGACAGAATCATGATCCAAGTTACAAACATCTTCATGAATTGCTCTTGCACTCGCATGCTAAATCTTGTCCGTTTTAATAAAAATAATTCAAGAAGAAAATACTATTGTTAATTATATGTAAAATATAAAAATTATTATAGATCATAGTCTCAATAGTCTAAGAGATGAATACAAGAAACTAACTATAGTAATTCGGATACGTGACTCACAAATATCTTTTGAAGAACTATATGATAAGATAATTGATTAAAAAAATATATTTATAACAAAAGAACAGAAATATGAGACTAATTATCATAGCTCAATTCAATAAAAAATCTAAAAGAAAAAAAAGACAATCAAGCAACAATAACTTCAATAATGGATCATAAGTCTCTTAAACCTAAACATATGGGTACATAGAGTCATCATCATCCATTACAAACTCTCCAACCATTGTGGGAAATTCAACTCAAACAACTCAAGAAATAATTTCAACTACATAACTCAAGAAATAACTCCTTTGCACTATTAAATTTTTTTCATAACTCTTTTATTATAAAAGATATAAGCACAGGGGCATCTTTAGTCTGAGATCATAATAAAAAATAATATTTACGAATGATCATCAACTTCACAAATCACCTGATCAATCGCTTTTACTTTAGTTACTGCTCCAATCGATATATGGTATTGTCACATTGGTCATCTATCATTCTCCATTCAAGATTAGCTAATCTCTTGTTACTTTCTTCTAAATTTCAAATCAAGTAGAATTATAGCTCATTGTGATGCTTGTTAATATTTCTCACCGACTAGCAAATTCTTTTACAAAGCCTTTCACTCATACGATGTTTTAATTATATTTGTCTTAGATTTCAAAATTGACATCCTTGATAAAAGTTAAAGCTCAGGGCATGATAGAAGATCATGAAAGAAGTAAACATGGAATGATATTCTTATATTCCTTTTGTCTTCAATCAATCATAGGGGCATCTTTAATTCAAGTTCAAAATAAAGACAACATTTTGAATGATCATCAACTTCACAAATCATCTAACCAATCATTTTTGCTTCAATTAAGATATATTGTTCCTTTGATTTAATTCTTTGCAGGTAATGAGTAAAACGAATCCTCACCTCTCGACTTCAATCATCTATGTTCCGAATTCTACGATTCTTTCATGTTAATAGAAATAATGACAAAGGTAAATATAAAATGATATTTTTTAGTTCTTATGTCTTAAATAAATTTATAATTTAAAGATCAATCTGTATATTTTAACTGAGTAATTTGAGTATATAATTAAGAAAAAAAATTTCTTAAAATCTATATATATACACATCAACTTAATAAAAAAAATCATGACTCTTTACATGTTCTTCAATTAATCATGATATCATAGCTCTTCTTACCTCAAGACTTCCCTTTCCTCATTATCTGGTGATAGTAGTCTTTTTCTTCGCTAATATACCGATTACCTCGCTATCGATTTCCTTTTTTACCCAACGGTCCTTCTCCAAGGCCAAATCTATCACAGAATTGTTCTTCTCTCCTACCATCGCCCTCCATCATTGATTTTCTCATCTCACTAACATGCTTGGCATAGCTTACTCAGTTGCTCCTCTTCACTCATAAATATTGTTGTTGCTATAGCAACAATAGCAATGCCTCCTCGTCATAGCAACAATGACAATGCGATCTCCCCTTCATGATATGTTCTGTAGCAATAGCAACACCAAACATCGTAGTAATAATGACAGTGCGATCTCCCCTTCATGATCTGCGCAACAGATTTGCTCCACCACCTCGATCATTTTATCAATCCTCTGGTGACCCCGATCTGATCTGCCGCCTTCAATGATTGTTTCCCACTCCATTGCTGATCTAGTCAGTCATCCACCACACTGATTTCACTAGTCCTCTGGCAATCTATAGTAGATCATTCCCCTCTCCGATAATCTGATTCCTTTATCCTTTCCCCATAAAGACTCCTCCACTCATCAATAATTTACATTGTGACTACTTGTTGATCTATTGCCTCGTCATTGCACCTATGATTCTTCCTCTGCCCTAGATTACCAACATCAGCCATTAGTGCAACATAAGCATTGCTTCCTTCGGCTTCTTCAATGACATCATCTTTTCTTGTGACCCACCGTAGGAGTGCAAGGCCATAAGTGATATTTCACAATGTGGCAAACTTTGCATCATCTGCTACCGTCCACTATCTCCTCTCCTCTTACTATTTAACAATAATGTCTTCTTCCTCTTCTAATTTTGATACTCCGGTGATTATTCGCTTAAGGAACAATATTTGCTCTTCACCTACGAGACTCATCTCAATTAATGCAACAACATTGATTCATTTCAAACTCTCCAAAGGTGAATTATATATCTCGGTAAGTTCTATCGATGGCAACATTGATATGACTTGCTAAGTTATATCGATGGCTCCTTTAATTGTCCACCCAAAGATATCTATGAGAATCAATCCTAATGGCAAATTCTAACCATAAATTATGGTTATGCCAAAATCGTCTTATTTTATATGTCATTCAAGCCTCAATTATTGACTCTATAGTACCACTAATATCTTTCATGTAATATTTTGATAGAAGCATGGTCCAAGTTATAAACCATCTTCGTGAATCACTCTCGCACTCGAAAAACTAAGTTTTTTTTATACTTTGATGAAAACAACCCAAGAGAAAAGTATTATTATTGATTATATATAAAATCTAAAAATTATTATAGTTAATTTAATTTTAATAAGTTATCCCTCGTGTACACGAAGAAGTCACTGTTCACAATCTCAATAGCCTAAGAGACGGATATAAAAAACTAGTAACAACAATTTAAGCATGTGACTCATCAATGTTATTTGAATAACTATATAACAACATGAAACATATTTAAAACAAGAAGAGATAAAAATAGGACCAACTATCATAATTTAATTCAATAAAAAATCCAAAGGAAAAGACTATTAAAGTAGCAAGAACTTCAAAAAACTTGCTAAACAAGAAGTCTCCTAAACACCTAGATAATAAATAGAGTCATCATCATTTATTACACTATTAAATCTTGATAATAACTTCAACTCAAATAGCTAAGAAAATAAATTCAACTACACAATTCATGAAATAACTCCATTACATTATTGAGTTTTTTCTTGACTTGTTTACTGTAAACGATCTGAGCACAAGATTGACATTAAGCTCAATCTTACCAGAGCATGATCAAAGATCATAATAAAGGTAAACATAAAAAGACATTCTTATATTTATTACATCCTCAATCAATATTATATTTAAATATAAATTTGATTAAATAATTTGAGTACATGATCTCAAGACTTAAAACATGGAATGAACTTGTGAGCAATGTACTGAAGAAACGAAATATGTTGTATAGGCACGATGGAAACCAGGAAGCCTCGAGTAGGGTTCATAGTCAAAGCCGGTCAACATTCGGTATAGTAGGAGGATTTTGGGCAGACATCTTATCGACGTGACCTAACATTTTCCAAAGTCGAGCTGCATCATAACGTTTTGGTCGTTTATTTCATGAGCTGATCTCCTTGTAGACGGGATAAGACGGCGGTT